GTGGCGCGTGCCTGTAGTCCCAGCTACTCGGGAGGCTGAGGCAGGAGAATCGCTTGAACCAGGGAGATGGAGGTTGCAGTGAGCCGAGATCGCACCCCATTGCACTCCAGCCTAGGAACAGAGTGAGACTCCATCTCAAAAAATAAGAAAAAAAACTAGCTGGGTGTGGTGGTGCATGCCTGTAGTCCTAGTCACTCAGGAGGCAGAAGCAGGAGGATTGCTTGAACCCACGAACTAAAGGCTGCAATGAGCTAGGATTGATTGCATCACTGTGCTTCAGCCTGGAAGACCAATAAAGACCCTGTCTCTTAAAAAAAAAAAATACAAACTTTACAAAATGGGTTCAGGAAAGTCACTAAACAAGCAGCAGCAATACAAATCCTCGGGAGAGAAGAGAATCCAATTTCAATCATTGCCATGTTATATTATTTTAAATTCCCAGTTTCCAGCAAAAAATTACACAACAGGCAAAGAACAAGATAGTGTGTCCCAGGCACAGGCAAACAAAACAGTCAATGGAAACTGTCCCTGAGGAAGCCTAGACTTTGTACTTATTAAACTTTAAGATATTTAAAATATCTTTAGGCCAGGCATGGTGGCTCATGCCTGTAATCCCAACACCTTGGGAGGCTGAGGTGGGAGGATCACTTGAATCCAGGAGTTCAAGACCAGCCTGAACAACACAGTGAAACCTTGTTGCTGAAATAAATAAATTACCCGGGTGTGGTGATGTACTCCAGCTACTTGGGAGGTTGAGGCAGAAGAATCGCTTGAACCCGGGAGGCAGAGACTGCAGTTTAGCAAGATCTCATAACATATCTGGTTCTCTTATCTGTGAAATGAAAGGTCAGGACAAACTAAGTTAACAGGACGTTTTCTACTCAAACATTCCAGAAAGGAAAAGGCGGAGATAAGTAATGATCATACAGCAGCCTCTTCCCAAACACACTCCCAAGCTTTTTGTTGTTGTTGTTGAGACAGAGTCTCACTCAGATATCCAGGCTAAGTGCAGTGGTGCAATCTGGGCTCAGGGCAACCTTCACCTCCCAGGTTCAAGTGATTCTTGTGCCTCAGCCTCCCAGGTAGCTGGAATTACAGGCATGCGCTACCACGCCCAGCTAATTTTTGTATTTTTAGTAGAGACAAGTTTCACCATGTTGGCCAGGCTGTTCTAAACTCCTGGCCTCAAGTGATCTGCCCACTTTAGCCTCCAAAGGGCAGGGATTATAGGCATGAGCTACTGCACCTGGCCTCAAGCTTTTGTAATGAATTGGTATGGCAAGCTAAAGGTTATTGTTGAGCACCTGTAGAGAATTTTTGATTTCAGTTATACTTTCAACTCCAGAATTTCTATTTGGTTATATAGAGAGAAATATATATTTCTCAGTTTGTTCTGACCTTTCATTCATAGATAAGAGAACCAGACAGGTTATGAGATCTTGCTACACTGCAACCTCCGCCTCCCAGGTTCAAGCAATTCTCCTGCCTCAGCCTCCCGAGTAGCTGGGATTACAGGTGTGCACCACCATGCCCAGCTAATTTTTGTATTTTTAGTAGAGACGGGGTTTCACTATGTTGGCCAGGCTGGTCTCAAGCTCCTGACCTTGCGATCTGCCCACCTACGCCCCCCAAAGTGCTGGGATTACAGGCGTGAGCCACCTCACCTGGCCATGACCAAGAATTTAAAGCAGATATGTTGTGGGGTTGGGGAGTGGCTATAAATCTCATCTATTCCCATTTAAGGTAGCTCCACCCACCTCCAGTGTTTCAAGAAATACCTTCAGGCAACCACTGTTTTCCTTCTCCCACAATCTGTAGTTCTTTTGCTTTCCAGCTTGGGCCCGGCAGGATGGCAAGAAGAAAAGCCTTTCTGCCATCAGTGTGGTGGTGACCAGAGAATACACCATCAACATTCACAAGCACATCCATGGCGTGGGCTTCGAGAAGTGTGCCCCTCGGGCACTCAAAGAAATCCAGAGATTTCCCATTAAGGAGATGGGAACTCCAGATGTACACATTAATACTAGGCTCAACAAAGCTGTTCGGGCCAAAGGAATGAGGATTGTCCCATACCGTATCCCTGTATGGTTGTCCAGAAAAGGTAATGAGGATGAAGATTCAACAAACAAGTTCTGTACTTGGGTTACCCTTGTACGTGTTACCACTTTCAAAAATCTACAGTCAATGTGGATGAGAACTAACCACTGATTATCAAATATATCAAATGAACTTATAATACAAACAAACAAAATACTTTCTAGTTCTCTTCCTACATTTTAAAAATGCTTTTTTTGTTTTTTTGACAGGGTCTCACTCTGTGGTTCAGGCTAGAGTGCAGCAGTGGTGCAATCTCGGCTCACCTCCGCCTCCTGGGTTCAAGTGATCCTCCCACCTCAGCCCCCAAGTAGCTGGGACTACAGGTGCACACCATCATGCCTGGCTAATTGTTTTTTTTTTTT